TGAAGCAAGGCTAGGCGCGGGTAGGGAGAAGGGCTTGTTTGCGTCGGATCTAACAGCCGGGGGGTTCGCCGGAGGGAAAGGTCTTTGGTAGCAGAACCTGCTCGGAGAGTAAAAGGGTACGGCGTGGTTATGAGATCTCCCAGTGCAGGATGTTACACCGAAGGCACGAAAATACTGTAAATACTTATAAAGTGTTCCCCTTTTCCAGCAGAACTCTAAGTCTAGCTCCTGTGCAGAGCTGCTAGGTTAAGAAATTGGTGAGGATGAGTGTTGTCACTTGTGGCTTACAGGTGGATAAACTCACAAATGAGGAAGACAACAGATGACCCTTAAGTTACTTAAGTAATAGACTGAATTTCCTTCTGTAAATGGCAAAAAAAAAATCTAATATTGCTTGTAGATGTCAAGAGAGAAGACTGGGGCTGACTACTGCAGCGACTCATTGTGAGACTGGCTGTTAGCGGTGCAGGCTTGATTTTCGTAGTAGTGCCTTAGCTTGTCAAAACTCTTTGGGTATGTGTTGTGTAGAGGGCATGTGGAGACACTTCCCTAGAAACAGAGTGACTTCCTTCTTTGTGCCAGCAGACATAACCAAATGGCATTTCAAGCATGTACAGAGGCACTACACACCACCTGTGGGGTTCCACAGCACGCACTCGCTGCTGTGTTTCTTGAATTGGAACAGATGAAATGCCTTGTTTTAATCAAAAGTAACACCTTCCCCCTGCCAACAATAGCAAGATTCATTTGAACAGGGAGGAGGGAACAGAAAGGAAGTTCGGTGTTCGTATAAAATTCAGGCAGCTGCAGATTTTGAAACTTCATTCTCTGTTTTAGTGATCAGTAACAAATCAACTTTTTGTTGCTGTAGCAACAAAATGCTGTAAAACTTTGTTTGCAGGAGGTTGTGATGCTGCTTTGGGTTAGGTGCATTGTGGCTGTCCATCACTTGCGGTACTGGTTATGTGATGTTTGTAGTAGAGGAACCAAGAAGTTGAGTTCCTGTTGTTTCAGTAATGCCATGCAGTTTTCAAAATCAGAAGTGTTTTTTTTTTAAAAAAAAAAAAAGCTTGCAGGATATATTTATTTGTAGTCAAAGTTGCTGTATGTTACCCCCCCTTTCCTGCATGTAGGTCATACAACCCGTGAGTAGGGGGATGATGTTTTGGGTAGGTGTTTGGGGATTTTTTCTTTTCTCTCTTTTTTTACTTTAGTCCACTGATTCTTTTGCTGAAGTGAATTTCTGGGGGCAGTTGCAAAGAAAGGATTGTACAAAACAGGTTGCAGTTAAGGCATCTGTTTACAGATGCTGAACAGCATGAAGGCCAGTGCTACCCTCAAAAGAGAGATGAAAGGCAGGCTTCAGGTCAAATGAGAAGCATTGTTGTCTGTGCTTAATACCTGTGTGCTCATTTGACAGGTATGGCCTGCTTTTGTCCATCTCCAGATGCCTTTGTTTTCACTGCTGGACTGATGAACCCAACTTTTGGATTTTTTGTTTTGCCCTCCTCCTTCCCAGTCACCCTGCTGAAGCAGTTGAAACCTTAAAGCTTGTTTTAACTTTATTAAAGTCAGCACTCAACCTGAAAACTGTTGTTGATTTTTAGTTTTTTATGTTATTGTACTTTGGCAAAATGCAGCATTTGAGGGTTAAAAGATTCTACTTCTTTTTAAAAAGAGGCAAATTGTTGGCTTGATGGGGCTATTTAAAGTGAAAGAATTAATAGTATACACAGAAAAGAAACTGTTTAGATTTAAGTCATTGCATGGTGTTGTATGGGGTAGAGTTTTAGTAACCCTCTTGTATGAAGCTAAGGATGGTCTGTATAGAGTTCTGCTTCTTTATCTATTGCGAACAGTTTCGCTTTTGAGCTGCTTGTTTTCACCTGCTTTAAAAAAGGTAGCTGTGACCTCTGGTGGTCCTTTTTGATGTACACTGTTCTATGATTCCTTGAACTATTAAATGTGGTGTGAAACATGCTACCTGAGGACTGGGAAAGTCGTCGTTTGCTCAATCTTTAGAACTGACTGGTAACAAATACTGTTTAAGATGGGTATTTTGTGAGGTATACCAGTTTGGTGTTTACGTGCTGACTTAACTGTGCTCCAAACAAAGGAGTACTTTGAAACATTCAGGGTCATCCTCAAGGCTTGGGTGCAGCCAGTTCCAGAGTTTAGGCTTTTCTGTTGTTTCTGTTGGAAAAACTCTAGACTAAATTCTAAACCAGTGTAGTCTTGTCCAAAGAGAAGCGATGAGGTTTCCTGTGCGATGTGATGAGAGAAGCAATCTTTTGCAATGAGAAATTGCCAGATATCAAGTAACTAAAATGTCATCAACTTGCATGGGTACAATAGTCAATAAATTAACCAGCTTCAGCAAGTGGTGACCTTGTGTGAAACTCTAGAGGGTTTTCTCTTAATTAATCTCTTAATTTTCTCTAGACTAATCCACTTTGTGTGTTTCAAAATGAACTCTTAAACATTTTGATTGTGAACGTGACCCTTTGCAGTGTAATGTATTGTAAGTTATAGTATGTGTTTAGTCTCAAACTGTTTTACTTCAAACAATTATATGGAATCATGTACAACTGACACTTGTTACTTTTTTTGGTCATCTCTTAAGCTACGTGCTTGGTTTTCGTATTTTCCTCCTTGAGAAATGGAGCCTGAGAAAAAAAATGCAGTGCTGTTACTAGTCTACTTGCAAAATAAATTGGCTATTTAATGATTTTGCTGGAGAAGCCTAACCTGTTTCTTTGCTTGTACTTGCATACTGTTAATTTGTAGCACCATGGCATGTCCAATTTGTACTGTTTCATTTTGACTACTTGCCTTTTTAAGTATTTTTTTCAGTATCACAGTTAACTAGGTGCTAGAGTCTGAAAAGTCTCTGCTTCTGAAGATACAGCACCAGTTTCATCGAGGTTTTACATGAATACTGGTGTTAGGACAGCTGATTCAATTAGATCCACTTTCTGAGAGCAGGATAAGCTTGTGCCAGCTGTCTTGAGGCAGCAAAGCCATCTAGCAGATGCTAACTGCCAACTGTCAGTGTTTGTTTGCAGAGTGTCCAGCCTCCAAGGTGCTAGTTGAATGTGATGAGCAGAAAAGTAGGCAGTTCTGTTTTCCTTTGGGTCTTGGTAGTAGTGCATTTGCTTAATCCTGGCTGGGTTGTTCTGTCTTTGATTAATTGAGAGCCATGGCATAACTCTTTGGCATACTCCCTATTTTTGATCAAACTGTATTCCTGGATCGGTTGCCCATTTTGGTCAGGGTAGTTAGCTGTGAGTAGTTCCCCAGTGCTGATTTTCTTTCCTTATATTCTAGAGGAAATTTATGGTTACTTAAGTAAGGATCCACTAGTATATGGGAGAGTAGGCAAGGTGTTTCTTGCAGGAGCACCCAGAATAGTTATGGGTGTCATTTCATAATACAAGTAAGCTAGTCAAATGCCTCTTCTGTCCCCTGCCTTCCCTTCTCTGTTCCTTCCTTCACAAAAAAAAAAAAAAAAAAAAAAAAAAAACAAAAAAATCCAAAAAACCCCCCAAAAAAAACCTCAGGACTTCCCTCCATTGGTGCTTGTGTGGGCCTACAAGTGTCAGTGAATGCATTTGGCAAGCTAACATGATGGAAGGCTCTTCTGTGTTGATGGTAGTTGGGGGGAATTTTTCTGGAGAAGTGGTCCCTGCCAGAAGAACTTCCTAAAACCACTGTTGTTTGTGTTTGGACAAACCCCAGGATGGTTGCTGGAGCGTGCGGCTGTCCTGAGGGAGCACGGTGATTAACCTGGTGTGTCACAGTGCTGCACGTGTAGGCAGGAAAGAAGAGGTAAGATGGCCATATCTAGAAAACATGGGGGATTGTATTTTCTGTCACATAGCTTGAGTTAACCTGATGTTGAGGAGAGAATCAAGCTTAGTTGGGAACAAATTAATGTGAATCTGAACAAAGTTCAGTTTGAATTGAGTCTCTAAAAAAAGAGCTGAAAACTGGAAAACTTGGAAAAAGATGTTTAGTTCAGCACTTCGAAATGTGATGTTAAAAAACGTCATTTAACACCAATGGTCATGTTCTAGGTTGTAAGTTTTCATTTTTACTCATGAAATAGAAATGTTTGTGTTGTAGGTCAAATTTTGTACATGTGACTCTGATTTGAAACACTGAAAAATTTTTGCCACCAAAAGTTAATTTTTCAGATACTGGTGTGCCTAGAGCTGTGTGTGATGCTAGGCGGGGTGTCCTGCTGGTGTGGAGCATGCTGGCAGGGCAGCCTGTGCCTCGGGAGGGGTAGGGCAGCGCTTCAGTCATGGCTTCTGGTGATGCACAGAGCCTTTTCCGTCATCTTCTAATGCGCCAGCTCGTGTCCTCCGAAGGTGCGTGGAAGGATGGCCAGGATCTCGTTTCTAAGCAGCGCAGAGCAGTCGCAGCACGGTGCTGCTCCTGCCTGCCTCAGGCTGGGCGATGGGTGGCAGGTTGCTCATGGGATGCTGGGTTGTAGGCAGCTGTAGCTGGTGGGAGAGCTGAGTTTTACAGTTCTACAAGCATTTTTTTTTTTAACAGAGAAAATAAGCTTGGCTCAAATATGGCTAAAATAGGACTATATGGGAGAGCTGAGATAGTTGTTGAAATGTCTTTGATTTTCACTGATTTTTGGAGAGGTGTGTCACTGGCCTTCGAAAATGGTAAACGTTGGTCTTTGTGCCAAACTACAGCATTTGTGAAGCTGCTCAGTTTCCCTCCTACAACACACAAACATTTAAAATTAACTTTCTAATTAACTTTTAGTTGAATAACTTTCCATAGTTTGTTCGTGGCAGTGTCAGTGTGACTGTAGCTGAAACTTCTGGTACTACATCATGCCACTGTTTCCGCTCTTCGACAGGAAGATCACCCCAAAAGCCTGAGGCAGAAACCTAATGGTTTTGATCTAAATGATCAAAGCCCTACAAAATGAGCAGCCCTGGAAAACAGAGTGTTACAAGTACAGCTAGCAGGCAGCCTTAATGAGGAGCAGCCCTGCCAGCCAAGCCAGTGGTGAAGCCTAAAGGGGAGATACAGAGTGTGGAGGAGTGTGTTTGCTGTGATGACAAGCTGCTGTGGTGCTTGCTGTGCTCACGTGTCAGGCATGTGGGGAATGCCTGTAGCTGGTGGGGCTGGGGACATCTCTGGGGTGGCATCCCACCCACCCACTGGCTCCAGCCAGCTCTGCTGTCCTGATGGTGTGACTGTTCACCCAAAGCCTTTTAGTTGGCCAAGTGGAACTGAAAGGTTTCTTAAAAGAAGCAGCCCTGTCTGGTTAAGAACTGGCCACTAGGTTATTAATTAGTTTTGATTGTTTTTCTCTTTACCTGTATGACCCTGAGGTGAGTTGCTGAACTTGATAATGCTGCAGGTTTTTTTTGTTTCTTTGTTCATGGGCAGGTGTGTGCTACAGGTGTGCCTCCTGAGAGGAGGAGAAGTGGTGGTGAGCTTCAGACTGCATCCTTCTTCCATATGGTACTCCTTTGGAGTCCTAATTAAAAGAATCATTGAGTAGGTTGAGCTGGCCATCTGCTGGGTTAAAGCGCAAAGGGAGAAAATATGTAAGTTTAATGTTCTGTTTCACCCAGCTTTATTTTCCTTCCCAATTTAATCGTCATCTAACAATCAATGAGGTAGTAACCATTAGAAGAAAACAGCTGCGTAAGTATGGTGATATTGAGTGTGATTTGTCCTTTCAGGAAAAGCTCATCCTGAAAATTCTGCCTTTACATGTTGTTTTATTACCTTGGTAATCTGCTTCATTGTAGAAGCAAAGCTCAACTCTTGTTGGAGAGAGGCTATTAAAATGTCTTTACTGCCATACTGGTGACAGTATCTAATAGAAATTCTTCCTCTATTCCTAAGTAACACATATTCCCTTTGTACATCCCTATGTGAGAAACTGGTGTAGCGGGCACTGGGTTTGTGCAGAAGTTCCCATGGAAAGCCAGCCAGCCTCAGATCTTAGGGTGTCTCGTTTTAAAGGACCAGTGTCATCTGTTTAGCCAAAACCAAATTGTTCTTGAAATGCCACAAAATTTTCTTCAGACAGAATATAAAGAACTTGATTTTTTTTTTTAATCAGGAAAAACTTTCTTTGTTTTTTTACTAAAAGCTGTGCCCTATGGAATTATTCAACAGCCTGGTGAAGAAGTGCAGAACATGCTAAAGTTTTACTTCAAACAGAGAAAACCAATCATAATGTTGATCTAAATGGTGGTTGCTCTGCTTCTGTGTTATGTGAAAGTTCCAGTTTGCCTGCTCTTCCAGAAAAGGTGTAAAAAGAGGGAAATGTACTGTGTAATGAAAACAAGAATGTTTCCCTGGATTCTTTTGGGAGAATGAGCCCTTGGTCCATACACTTCTGAGTGGTCACAGCAGAGAAATATAGGACTCTTAAACTGAAGGTTTTTTCTTTTAAGAGTAGGTGGATCCATTCAGGCTTTGAAATGGTAGGGAAGTACTGACACTTTCTGCTTTGCCAGTCCACACAGCTGAGGTTGCTGATAAGTGGGAAGTCATTGCCAAATCACAAAAAAATGTGATACTGTGTCTGAGAGAATTTTAAGCAGTCCCTTCCTCTTTTTCCCCCTTTTATTCCCCCCGACTCCACCTCCCACCCCAAAAGGGGCAGTGGGGGAAATCAGGGTAATTCTTTGAGAGGGAGAGGAAGTTTTCCTAAGAGGATTTGGTCTGTACTAGGCTTTGTCCTCCCTAATGAGACTGCATTAAGAATACCTAAAGGATTCTTCTAGAATTCTATTAAAATATAAATACTTATCTCAATAGTTTTAAATAATTACCAGTAGGATGTTTGTTATTCCTGCTTCTCTTGCCTTTGCTGGGCAAGTTAATATGAACTATTCGATTTGCTTTTCATTAGTGGAGAGCTTTTAAGATGTTAATCTTTTGATTAGAAAATCTGGATTGTTAATGACCTGAATCTGGAGGACTTCTGGGCTTTGAGAGGCACTTTTTGTTTATCCTGTTTTTCTCCCTCAGTTCTGGCACACGTGGGACATAGGGTTTAGAAGAACACTTGTGGGACAGCCTTAACTTGCTAGCACTGCATCCTGTGTTCTTGGAACTTGATTACTGTGCTTGTAGAGGTCTTGGCTATGTAGTGCTTGCTATGCTGTCATGTGCGGTGTTTTGTAATATATGGGGAATGTGAGCAAAGCTTGCTCTAAGAAGGTTTGGCATCACTACAGCGGGGGCAATTCTTTGTCCATAAATGACCCTTTAATGCTTTTAGGGAGTTGGTACAGTATGTTGACCTTGCATCTTATGAATGTTTAACATAATACAAGAGATTTTCTTGCTTTTTTTCATTCTGTTAATATTCCATTAATATCAAGATCAAACCAAATTATTCTGATCTAGTTAGACTTACTGACAGTGCACCCTCCTGCCCTTCTGCTTTCATTTATTGTTTCTTAGTTAGCCAGATTTTTGCAGAAAGTGTCTTTAACTGCTGCTTCTGACAAGTCCACAGCCTTGCAGCTGGGGAGGCTAGCGATATGCTAGTAGACATAAAAAAAAAAATAGGGGTTCTTGTCTTGTTTTCAAGTAACCAGCAGTGCAGGAGTATATTCTGAGATGGAAGATCTGTACGGTTTACATGCCATGTAGTTATATTTTTAACATGCCTTGAAGGTAAGTTTACAAGCTTGCAAAAGGACACCAAAGTTGGTCGGATTGGTGTTCATTCCTATCCCTGCACTGCAACTGTATATGCAGAAAGTGCTGATGTGGAAACAAAAGATAATATGAAGCGATTTAGCTAATGACTGTTGAAATTCAAGGCTTAATAACATTCTGTTGAGGAGTGTCATTTGCTTGAGCTACACCATGGGTTAATTTGACTATCAGTGACTAAGTAGTGTGACAAATAGGCAGACTTTGCTGCAGATGTGAAGATAAAAGGCTGCTTTCTAACAATTAGCACAAAGGCTTCAACAAAAAAAGACATCCTGAACAGTGAAATACAATCTATTTAACATACAAATTGAATTGAGAAGTGATCTGTTTAACGTACAATTAACTTGAGAAATTAATGTAAGGAGAATAAAAAGAGGTTTAAAGATATGAATAAAAATTAATCCACAGTTGCACTTACTGGGATAAAATTAAGAGGACTATCCATCATTTTAACAATCTGGTGTTTGGAGGATACCTCTTTATACTGTTCTAACCAGATCATAGCTGTTGATAGTTAAATATCTGGGCATTTGATGGCACATGATTGCTTTCCTTGAAGCTTCCAGTCTTTGTCAGATGAAAGAAATTAAACCAAAACAGAGCGGCAACCATTGTCTGTAAGAGCTGCCAGCTGATTAGCAGTCCCCTAACTTTTTTTGAATGTGCAGACTTTCGTGCTTAAATTTAATGCTTGCTGCTTCATGCTATGCATCTTCAGCCTGTTGGAAGCAGTTGGCAAATCATTTTCTCTTTGTTGCATTTCCTGTGCCTAGCTTGGTGCCGGCGAGGGCTGAGCACCAGGCCAATGCCCTGTGGCTGGAGCAGCTCGGTGAGGTTTGCAGTCTGAGTGCTAATCCGTTCTTGTGCACAGTGACTCAGGAGGTGTGCTGCAGGTGCAAGAACATGCCCTTTGAGGCAGTTCAGGCTAGGTGATCAGAGGCCAGAACCCCAAAGGACAACAAAGTTTCTTAGCTTTTCTGTGCCTTTTGATTTCTCAGTCTGTAAGATGGAGGCTTTAAAGACCTAGGTTCATTAGTTGAAAGACCTAGGTTGGTTAGTTGCTTTGTTCACAATCAACAGGATTAAGGAGTGGATTTATTGAATCAATATAGTGTTATTTATATTTAGGATGTCAGGTGTCATCTAAAGTGTCTCGCTGAGAAGACTTCTTGAGCTTTTTCTTTGGTTTCCTGAGAAAAGTGGTCAGTATAATCTGAGGAGGCGCATGCTGTTTGGGTGGTGGGGAACACAGACCGCAAAGGATTTCTTAGACGTGGAAAAGACTTCTGTGCATGTAGCTATGAGAGTTTTGTGATGCTTGCTCTGTTCAGGAACGGCCATCCCTGTTGCTGTTACTGTACAATGCTACAACGTCAGGGTATTGTCACACATCCTTATGTTAGACATGAATGGAGAGTGTGGTTACCAGCTCTAACACTGAACTACTGACAAAATGGGGCTGGTCTGCTCCATGCTTCTGTTGTGGGCTGGGGCCTTTGCCTGTTAGATTGTATGGAGTTGGGTTGGTTTAGGTTATGCTTTTTCAAAACAAAATCGTGCTGTGTCAGCAACCAGCCTGGCTCCTGGCATAGCTACAGAATGGTTAGGCCTTTGGTGGTGTTTAGGGGTAAAGCGAAGGAGAGCCGGGATTATTTTGACATCATGATGTGATCAGCTTAGCATGTGGCTTAACATCACAGCTAAGCTATATTAAAAGCCGGTGGATGAGCTGCTAACATAACACAGTGATCTTAAATTAAAGGGCCTGGTGGATGACGTGGATCCTCACCTAGCTCTTACCCCTCAGCCCGACAAGTACTCAGTGCTGTTGCTTCAGATTTGCAGTTCGCTTTTTTCTTTTACCACAGTAAAAATTTTCTAGGCCAAACCTGGCCCCAGATATTATTTACACTTGGTGGCTGGCCTTGTGTAAATGACCACTGAAAACAGAATTGGACTGCTGTCAGCCTCAGTATTGATGATGCTTCTCTGTCCTTCTTAGGAGGTAGTCTTCTACCAACCGTGAAAAGGAGAGCTTGTTTTTGAGAGCTTCAGTTCATGTTCTGATTGGTGATGTCTAGGTATACATGTTGACTTAGTTGTAAATGAGAAGTTCAATTTCTCAGGCTTTTAAGCAGAGCCACAGGGCAGGAGTTTTAAGGATCTGCTCTAACTATAGAAGCATGTCACACAGAGTTAGGTTTCTCAAGTAGCAGCTGCCATGTTAAGGAGTGTGGTTCTTAACGAATGTGTTGAAAAAGTTGCAATGTGCTTGTGGCTTGTTTTCTTTCTTGTTACTTTCTAGAGCTATAAGTAGAATTTGGTTTGTGATAGTGTAAGGAGGAATTTGCTCTTTGTATCCTTAAATGTGCCTTCTGTGTGGCAGTCTGCAAAGGAAAGTCTTTTGTAGCTCTAAAGTATGTGATCAGACTTAAGCTGCTTCTTGGCTCGGATTTGCTTAGAGAGCACTGAATTGGCAACAAAATATTTGATGCCAGCTAAAATTGTCATTTCTTCGTAAGCCAGATTTACTGGTGACGTTGTCTGAGTGAACATAATGGTACGTGTGACTTCTGTGGACAGCTCTCTGCACAGTCTTAGTTAAAAGAAAAAGAAAATGTCTCTTATGGCCTTAGTCTAGCATGTTAAACAATTTTCTACAGTGACCTAAACAGAGGAAGAAATTAAAATGGATAGAATTGAGAACTTAAAAAAAAAAAAAACACCAAAAAAAACCCAAATAAAAAAAAAACTGAAAACAAACTAACACCCACCCAAAGAAAAACAAAAACCCCCATGACTTGTTTGTGCAAAGTGACTCATTCAGAGGCAGAAGACAAGCCCGTTGCGATTGAAGTCTACTTTCCAAATACTGTAGAAGCTTGAAAGACTCATTCTGTTGTATGGGAGGTGTATGAAAGTCTGGTGTCGGAGCTGCAGCTTGCAGTATGAGCCAAACCTTAATATGGCTTCTTCTGAAATGTCTTCACTAGATGTTTCATACTGTATTTTGTTTGGGGTTACACGTTTGGAGGTGGGGAAAATATCTAGGTGTCAGTCCAAAACTGACAACTACTTTGTGATGTAGTTTACTGTGACAAGTACTAAATAGCTTCTTAAGATGACATCTTTTAAAAACAGCTTTTTAGTTACTTGTCACTTGTTTTTAGAAGGCTGATTGGAAAATCACGAGACACACTTTTACAAAAGCTGTGAAGAATTCATGAAGAGTTGATCAGAATTCATTTTAGTGTTCATCTGTAAAGCCTGAAAACTAACCTTCACAGTTCAGTATTTTGGGACTAGTTGAAATTCATAGAAAAAGAGTGCATTTAAGGTTATTGTGACATGATGTTTGGTTTGCACACAGTCTGTTCTTCTATCTGGATCAAAAAATCCTAACAAGATAATCCAATTGAGATCATAATCTTGTTTATAGCTCTGACCTTGCATCACAGGAAATTCAGCAGTCTTCAAGTAAGCACTGGTACACTAATAAAAGGTTTGGGTAAAGGAGGCTGTGGACGCCTCAAATGTTGTCTTAAAATTGGAAATGACAAATTAGGATTTTTTTTTTTGAGAGTTGCAGGCTAAGGTTTTGGGGGAGTCAGCTTTCTAAAATGAAATATTCTTGGCTTTTGTTTCTAGGGTCACATGATTCTTTCAGCTACTGGGTTGATGAGAAATCTCCTGTGGGACCAGACCAAGCCACAGCCATCAAACGTTTGGCCAGAATTTCCTTGGTTAGAAAGATCATGAAGAAATGGTCAGTTACTCAAAATCTGACTTTCAAAGAACAGTTGGAAGCAGGGATCCGGTACTTTGATCTTCGTGTGTCTTCCAAACCTGGGGAAGTAGGACACGAGATTTACTTCATACACGGCTTGTTTGGCATCAAAGTATGGGATGGGCTGAAGGAGATTAACACCTTTCTTGAGCAGCACCCCAAGGAAGTAATCTTCTTGGATTTCAATCATTTCTACGCCATGGATGACAGCCATCACTTCTTTTTGATTGACAGGATCCGCTCAGCATTTGGATCCAAACTGTGTTCTGTTGAATGTGTAGAATATGTGACGTTACAGTA